TAGGTGTGTAGACTTCTCTTTTTCTTTCTTTCATTTTGTTTCTCCACCAATGTGATTTATTTTCAGCTAATAATTCTTCTATTTCAGCAATCTTTTTCGTGTGTTCGGTTGTGCTCCGGGAAGCGCAGAAGCGACTACATTAGAAGCGAGCAAAAACCCCAGGTACTTGTATTAAAAGTTTTCAGCATGTAAATTTATATGGACATGTAGTAATGTCATGGCTTTTGGTGCCTTTTGATTATTCTCTCTTAGGAGACAAGTCCAGACCCCTTCGAGGCCTTCCAGGTCCTTGAGCAGCAGTATAACCCGTGTTGTCAGGAGAGGTATGCTTTTCTAGATACAAATACATCCTTTCTTCCTATATCTGTGTATGCTCGTTATCTGTATTTGCAATTTTTCCCACCACTCTAAAATATAGCTGAATCTTTATGATGCATTGCAGGATCAGAAAGTCCTGGGGCTGATGCCAATGGAAACTCATTTGATTTCACAACCAAACTGCTCCACCTTACATGGCATCCAACTGAAAATTCAATTGCATGTGCTGCTGCAAACAGCTTGTACATGTATTATGCATAAGTCATGACAGGAGGAATCGGGTTCTCTTGGGTTGCGTTTCTTGGAGTGCTTTTTCAGAAGGCTTCTTTTCAAACCAACTCGAGGTTCTACCATTTCTCACGTGCAGAATCCATGCCGGCATATATTACAAGTTCTTAATGTCATAGCTCAAAGAATGGTCAATTTAGTAACTCACTTGTCAACAACCCAACGTTCTTGTTCTCTTCCTACCTTCACCCTTCTCAAGATCTCCAATGTCTTTATAGTTCTCCCCTCAAGCAAAACTGTTAGATATGCAGAAATTATCACTAGATGTAAGGTAAATGCTGTTTTACTTCAATCCTGCTGGAAAAGACCTGCTGGCTTTACTTTATTGGGTAGAAGTATTTTTTGTAGGATAATTTGATGTTTTTTTTTCTTTGCTATAGATTATCGAACTAAAGTAGCTTTGTTTTCTTGTCCTGTAAAAGTTCAAGGGAGCTGGTATTTATTTATCTGCTTTCGTAAAGTGAAAGTTGCACACCTTTGTATCACTTGGGGTTCCTAAGTGCTTTACAACCTAAATTTTTTCAACAGACATGACTTAAATTAGGCTTGAAACTGAGCACTTCTGAAATTGGTTTGAGGGTATATAGAGATTGAGATTTGGAGTTCAGTTAACTCAGTTATATAAAGACTAAATTATTAGATAGTCCCTCAACCTTAATATAAATTGTCAGTTAGCCATTTAGTTATCAGTGGATAGACACCTCTAGTTGTGTTTGATATAGATGTATCTTCTGGAGACCTGGGGTTGTGTCCATAGAAGTCCTAGTATAAAGACCAAGTGCCTAAAAATACTTAGCTCTGGTTTGGTCATTGATTCTCAGTTATGTTTGTGAAAGTTGCGATTTTTAGAACTTGTGTTTGAGCATGCGTTTTATTTGAATAGATTTGAAATTTTTTTGGGTGTAATTTAAATCTCTCTTGAAAATATTTGAACATCTGATCAAATATTATGGTAAAATAATAAATATTTGAAGATAAGTTTTCAAAATCTTTCTTATGTTAAACATTAAGTCTATGACGTGTTTTCATGAAAATATTTTAGCAAGTGAGGGTTAGGTCATCATATCTTTTATGACTAAACACTATCTTTGGCATCTGTTACATGACAAAAATGACACGAACCACAGCACATTTTTCTTCCACTATGCCCTTAGAATTTTCTCCTTTTCTAAAAGGATTATGCATTGGATATCAAGCACATGGACCGCTCATTTTTCACCATTAACTCCAAATCTTGATTGATGCCAATGAATGAGCATCTCAATTTTAAATTAGTTGAGGTTACTTTATTAAGTATTATATATTTTTTGACTCAATCAAATCTATTAAATAATTTACGTTCAAGAAGTCAGTATTATTGTAAAGATTTACTTCAACTAATACGGCTTATTAAAAACATTTTTTTCACCGTTTTATTTTTAAAGTCACATCAACTACAAACACTAATCTCATGATATATTCTTGTTTTTTCTAATTATATTATTTACTGCTAATAAGGTACTCCTAATCACATAAATTGTTAGGGAAGTCGTTGTTACGCCTCAGTTGAATTTCATTTATATTTTGAAACAGTGACTGCCTTCACTAATCACTATTGCATATGTAATATGATTGTCAGAAATGATTCCTGGTGGCACAACTTGAGGCGTGTTGCTTGCTATGGATTTGACAGTTTGACACTCACACCCCTTTGTTTGATTATTCAAATGTGAAAAACGCATGTGTGGCAACATCGAACCAACAACAACCTTCCTTTGACTAGAGTCTTTCTGTCTGTTGATACGCGGGACGAGATAAACCATCAAACTATTATTTTATCTAATCCAATCGTCTTATTATACATGATGAGATACAATTAAACAACCATAGGTCACAAATGTGGAATCTATTTTACCAGGGGTAGAGTTTAGTAGCTTGTATGTGAGTTTGATCGAATTTAATAAATTTTGTTTTTAAATATTATATTTATGTTAATAAATTCATTAAATAATACTGAGTTATTATAACCTAAAATCATCGGAATAAAATACATAACCCGTAAAATTAAAATCCTAGCTAGTTTCACTTCTCTAGACCTATATAATCATTGTACCTTTTGAATACCATGGCCGTGTCTATAAAACTAAGTGCCTGAAATTACTTGCCTTAGACGATCAAAATGAACCATTTGTTTAATGACAGGTATAATTTGAATTGAAATTAAATAAAAAAAAATAAGTAGAACTTTCTTGATTTATGAAGTGTGATTATTTTGTAACAAGCTTTTATGACTAAAGTGATAGATTATGACTAAAGTGATTAAATGTAATAGAGAATAATACTTCATTTCTAATGGGAGCCGTACACTTTTTTTCTTCTTGATATTATATTTTCTTGCAGGTGAGGGGTCAAGTCATCATATCTTTAATGACTAAGCACATCCATTGACATCTCTAATTGCACAATAAAAATGACACAAACAGTAGTACACATATTTTTAAATTTTCTTCCCTTCCTAATAAGGTTTTCCTTTTCTCCAGCTAGCTAGTTAGGTATTCGATATATATACTATAGTTTCGAATAAATCTGAATTCTGCACTACAAAGTTCATTTTTATAATATTGATGTTTATAGCTATAAATTTGAGACATATAATTAAGAGCAGTAAACTCTTATCACTGTATCAAAACTCATGTTTTGATATGATATATAATAATTAACAAGCACATGCAATGCTCATTTTTCACTCCAACTTTCACCACTACTTCCAAATCTTGATTGATGCAAATCAATGAAAAATTTCATTACTTGTAGTTGCTGACTACAATAATATTTTATATTAATTTGACTCAATCAAATCTTTTTTTTCTTCCAGTAAACAATTTACTTATAAGAGTTCTCTACTATTAAATAATACACAGATGGAGATACTATATGTTAATAGGAAACTTCTACGTGTGTTTTTTTATAATTAAAATAAGAAAAGGAATAAACAGCGTATGCATCTTTTTGAATGAATTTAATATCTTACGCAATCGTCATACTCTTCCTTAGAATGGAAAAGAATTAAAATGATCATGACATGAAGGCTAAAAAATATAAAAGAATTATTTTCCAATGCTATCAGAGCTTTTGATTTTTTTTATTCTTTTAATAACTTGATATTACAATTTTAAAATTGAAAATAAATTATACCTATCGGAAACTCCCTCTTGTCATATACTTACGAATATATAATTTTTTTTATTGAGGATCATATTTATAACTTTCTTAAATAAAAAAAATTGTCTAAAATGTTTTGGTTGGAGTGTTTCTTTTGGTTTTAAAATAAAAATAAAATAGGAAAGAAAGCAAAGAAGGATAATGGTCACTAGATTTAAGGTTAGTAAACATATTGATGACAAGAATTGACCTTTTGTCTCTTTGTTTGAATTTTGATACACCAATTTGGTTGACGAAATGTAATTATTCCTAAGTTTTTGCTTACTTTTATTTCTTTCTAATTTTCGATCGAGTAATTTTTACTTTACCCTTTTAAAACTTTATGTTGGAGACGACATATCTCTTAAATTTTCCATGGAGATAAACTTTTAAATCACGAATATTTTGGCCAGAAATTACAAATATTAATATGTTATCATCAATTGAGAAGTTTAAAATAATTACTATATAATTTTGGACAATTCTAGTTTTATAAAAATTAAGGGAAAATACCTAAGTACTCCCTCAACCTATGCTAGAAATTTCAAAGACACACTTATACTATACTAAGGTCCTATTACCCCTAAACTTATTTTATATGTAATTTTCTACCCCTTTTTAGCCTACGTGGCACTAATTCGAAAAAAAAAGTCAACCATCGTTGGGTCCACAAGATAGTGCCACGTAAGCTAAAAAGGGGTAAAAAATTATTAATAAAATAAGTTCAGGGGTAATAGAACCTTAGTATAGTATAAGTGTGTCTCTGAGATTTCGAACATAAGTTGAGGAGGTACTTGGATATTATCCCAAAAATTAACATTGGTCCACTTAGTGCAATGATAAGAATTCTTTCATCTTTAATTAGATGTATTGAATTTGAGATTTTGAGTAAAGAATACATAGTCGTTTTTGTTGAGAAATATTTTTACTCTAATATGAGATTATTATTAAAACTTGAATTTAGTTATGTTCTAATGTAGATATGAAACGTGGATGAAAAAGAGGAGAAGAGTATTTTTGAAAACATTTTTCATCATTTTGTCTCATTTTTTTCGATTGGTGCTAAAATTAATGATACCACTTGATTAATCTAGAAGACTTTAAAATCATTTTGTTCAATTTGACATCATATCATTTTATTTTTATTTTGCAATAAAAAAAAAGTCTATTGACCAGGGGATTTTGTTTGGTACATATACAAAATTTTAAAATGTTTGGATAGATAAAGTGAAATTTGTCCTCTTTATTTACGCCAAAATCCGAACTTTTTTGAGAGAGACGCCAATAACACTCTGTTCTCTCAATAAGCCTAAAAAACAGAGCAAACAGAAGCTCACAATATGCAAGATCCATCATCAATATATTCACAGATCAATCCTCAGTTCCCAGATCAACAAGTCCTGAAATGCCCTAGATGTGATTCAATCAACACGAAGTTTTGTTACTACAACAATTACAATCTTTCTCAGCCACGCCATTTTTGTAAGAATTGTAAAAGGTATTGGACTAAAGGAGGTATTTTGAGGAATATTCCAGTTGGTGGAAGCTCTCGTAAGAACACAAAACGATCTTCTTCGAATAGCTGTAAACGCTCCTCAACGATGACGATTTCATCTTCAACTTCATCAGAACAAAATTCAAAAACAGAGCATTTTGATACCCCTGTTGTTCGGAACAGCCCGATTGTTGACGCCAATGGGCCTTTCGGCTCGCTACTAGCATCAAACGGGCCGGAGATAGGGAATTTTTTAAATGTTTTGAATCCTAACGGGCCCGATTCGGGCTCAGACGCTGCTGCCGCTCAAAGTGGGAATAGTAATAATAATCATGAATTTTTGGGTGAAGATTCTAATTGTTGGAATGGTACTAATGGTTGGGCTGATCTTGCTATTTACACCCCAGGTTCAACCTTTCAGTAATTAATTAATTAATTAATTACAATAGATTATTAGAACTTTGTATTAGTACTACTAATACTTATGAAAATGCACTTATCTTTTTCTAAGCATGAATGTTGGAAGTGTTGTTTGCGGATTGTATACTATTACTAGTAGTTTTCGTATCAGCTTGTCGTGCATCTCAGTTTTTTATTAATACATGTACTGAGTGACTCAGTTCATGTTTACGAAAACTTAATATTTTTACTTTGCATCAAACTAGTTTTGTTTGGGTAATGCTTAGTGTACGTACATAATTGTGTGTGATTTGAGATTTCATGTATGTTATTCCAAGGGAAATGATAAATTATGAAATTTATTACTTTTGTTTTTTATACTGATATTTTTCTCTCTCTTTTTTTTTTAAATTTTTAATGATTTGAAAGATATTTTTGGTGTATTGGTGACGATTATTTCAAGATTTGCCGTAGCTCCAATAATGTAGGCAAATGTATTAGGCGCAGTACGTACGTAATGGCAGACGTCTATTGACCATAATTACCAAATATTAGTTAGAGGGGTATGTATTAATAGTATAAATTACAAGTAATTCTTGAGATGGTAAATATTAGTTAATGAACTGATAAAATTTAAACCAGTTGTTTAGATAAATATCTACCTAAAAGTGGACTGAAAATTAAAAAATGAGATCTCTCAATTTAGTACATCCACCTTAACTTGGTAATTACCTTGTAAACAATTCAATTGTTATAATAGGCGTTTGGACAAAAAAAATGAAAAGTTTAAAAATATCACTATTTGAGAAAAGTCTTTTTTTTTTTTAAATAAAAAAAAATTGTATGAACAAAGGGTAGCAAAATCTTTTTTCTTTCCTCTAAGGTTGTGTTGAAAAGAAGAAATAGTGAGAAGCACATTGAATTGTTAATGTAGTAGTTGGTGGAGCTGCTAGTCAGAATGTGATGTGATGATTATCAACTAAATAAATTTGTCAAAATGAAGAAATTTTTTATCAAAATGGTCCACAAATCATGATGTACAACTCCTATATATGGACCACTTCTAAGTTCTGGGGAATTTATATTTGATTAATTCCTTCCTATCTTAAACCAACTCACATGAGAATGTGGTCCTATTATTCACTTGACCTACTCACCCTTTAATATTTTATATATATATATATAAATATATATATATATATGGGCCGTGTCTCAATCTCAGTGTGGCTGATCAATGTGATTTCTATGTTATGTATGGCCGTGCATATCATAATAGGTGTGTGTTTAATTCTTACGATTCCTTTATCCTTAATGTTGAAAAAATACCATATATGTGTATGTGTGTGCGATGACTAAATTTCAGTCATGAATGAGTTATGATTCATGCAAAAGTCAGAGTGAATGTGTTACAAAATGGTGTAATATTTCAATTAATTAACTACTTCAACCCTAAAGCTACTGCTAGTGTGAGTGATTGGTCTCTGTTTGCCAACCAAATTTGCAGCCTTTCTGACTTCAATTTCTGATATGACAATAAATGTAGTGGTCTATTTGTAAGGTGGAAAATTCATCATATTGTTTCTCATTTTGAAAAGAAATGAATACATAACCATCGATTTGTTTTGAGATCTTTTGGCAAAATTGAGTTGACTTTCAGTTTTTGAGGAAGTGATATGTCATTGTGCCACTAACTAGTGGAGGGACTTAGCTTAGTCATTACTTTTGATTACTTCAAAGAAGGGGAAGATTGATTGAGGGTCGGATAGTATTATTATAATTTTGATTTTTTATCGATTGTTCGTTATTATTTATTGGTTACGATTCATTTATTTGTATTTAATAAAGGTTTGAATTCAGACCTTAAGTTGATTTATTTGGTTTGAGAAGATTTTAATCATTGAGCTCTCTTTATATCATAAGGAGATAATTTGTGTGGAGAATTTTTATCGCCGATTTATTCACAATCACTGATCACCATCACTAACTCAACATCATTATTAATCATCACTATTGACCCCAATAACCTATGTCATCACAATCATCACTGACAACCATCATTATTGTCAATCACTATTGTCAGTCACTATCACATTTATTATTTTTATTATTTATATCATATCCTTGTCACCACTGCCGCCTTCACTACTACACTATTACGATCGATCCCTACTATCAATCACCCCACCATCTCAATTAACAATGTCGGCAATGACAACCAAACGCATCGTCAACCACAATCACCATCAGTTTTACACTATTGTGTAGTGATTATTCCTCATATATAGTATACATCTATGTATAATAAGTTTTACAGGTAATGTGCAATTGTTTCAAACGAAGGTCAATATTTAAGTTTGAGAATTTTGTGCGATTTCTATTTACTTTTTTTTTTTAAAAAAAAAGAAGTTAAAGTCAGGTGAATAAAGTGATGATAGGCCTATATCTATTGTATAATCAATATATAGGATATACATATTGATTATACACAAATTATGTAGTGATTATTCATCAACTATACATTATAAAATTATGCATAATGTTTAGAAGTAATATACAATAGATTCAAACGAAGTAAATATTGAAGTTCTCTAACTTCATAATGATATACTAAATGTACTTCGTTTATATGGATTTGAGCTCAAACTACCCTCATCGGACCTAAAACTTTCATCTTTGCAAGAGTTACACCTTGAGGAATCATTTCTGGACGAGCAATTACTTCAATATCTACGCACAACTTGTAATCATTTACAAGTTTTGTCTTTCAAGAGATTTCTGTTGCTAAACACCATGAAGATCTCATGTGACTGTCTCGAGCGCTTGGCAATCGTCGCGTGTGATAATTTGGATGTGGATGCTCCTAACTTAATGTTATTCACATATCATGTTCATTATGGAACCACACTCAAACTGAAAGGTTCACATTCGCTGGAAGCTCATCTCACCTTGATCCCAGAAACCATCGAGTCTCATTGGTACTCTAAGCTCACAAAGTCTCTTGGTAACTTTAATCATTCCAAGTCTGTTATCTAAGCTGCGATTGTGATGAGGTACATGGAATGAAACTGTCTACTTACTACTTACTACCTTGCCTGAATAAGCAGATCAGATGTGAATTTCTAACAGTTCCTTCTTTTTGTTTGTATAGGTGATAGTTATACCAAAAGACGTGAGAGGAAACTTCAATTAACACTCCATTTTATGCTACTAATGGTTTCCATGTAAACATTCATAATCTAGTGAAACATTCAGTTGTGGACGTTCTTGATAGTTTGTTTTGGATTTCTCCCCAATTGGGCACTGTATTAATACGATTCATAAGCTGATAAAAAGAGCTTTAACATTCTTTATATAGGTTTCATGATTGTGTTCTTGCAGGTTTTCGTTGTTTTGTAGTTTATATACAGATTACAGAGATGCATCAGATAAGGATGAGAGACCTTGTTGTACATGCGTATCTCTACCTTTTAAGTGTTGGGAAGCATAAGTTAGAGAGAGTCAAATTTCAAAATTTTACGAGCGCGTTGCTCGAGAAGTTGAAGAACTACATTTACATTTTCACAAATGCAGATGACTTGGAGATAATAGAAGTACCACCAGAATGCAGACTTTGAGCCAAATGGTCCATTTCATAATTTCCTTGGTTTTTTTTAGTGTTGTTGCGTCTTGGCTTAATTTGAATAAACTTAGCATGTCTTCTTGTGATGACAGACATACTATCAGCCCGTGTAATTCTATTACAAACTTTTTGCCTGCATGTTCATCCAAGGGGATTCTTAACCTTGAAAAGTTACTGGTTAAGAGGTACGTCATAGAAATGCAAGTAAAAAAGTTTACATACTTTTAATGAGCTGGTGTTAGCTGGTCTTCATTTTGTGGGTAATACCTACTATGATGTCCGATGGAAGATTGGGAGGGTGGACTACAGTATTTCCCAACTAAACAGTCTTCCACATCTACGCTGGGATTATAAAATCTTGGGCTAAAAATTCAACCGGTTTTGGTCTATCATATCATATCGTCCATTCCAACTTCCAAACGATGCACCAATATGAGTAATACGATTTAGAAGAAACAAACAATATGCTGTACTCATGATCCGCCTTGCTGAAAAGGTTTGCTCAATTTGTTCCAGTCCAAAAAAATGCAGTCAGAATAGTTGCATATTAGCACGCTGGGTGCAACAACTTGCTGGCAACAAAGTTGGGATATGAGTACCTGACCATCGCCTCATAACTTCAATTATTCAACTTGAAGTGTAAATGGGTATTTTACATATCCCTCAGATGAAGGTTTTCAAAGGAAAAACTTCAAATAAGTGTACGATGAACAGCAGTTATCAAGACCAAAGAGCGAGTTACATTAAGGAAAGAATAAAGAACCACAGTTTATATCAGAGCGCTTTCAGATAACAAAGTTTATAGATGCAGCACAACAACGAGCACATTGGCAAGCTGATCAGAGTATCCCAAGTCCACTAGCAATGTTCTATAAAATCTCATGTTTCCACTAAAACCTACTTTAAGGAAACACAGGCGGTAGAGTTTAGAAAATTCCTAATACAATATAGGACATCCCGTTACGATGCTCTCAAGCCTCAGCTGCTAAGGTATATAGAGTCATAAAGGGTCGTCATCATCCCTAAGGACCACAACTACTTCAGAAGTTCATATCATTGGACTTAGAGAACCTCAAGGATGACACAAGTTTTGTTGAAGAGGTGACTTATGTGGGTATCAAACTCCATAATCAACTACATTAAACCTCACATCTTTCTTAAGACTTTGAGAATTCCGGGATGTACCAAATGTTCAGCATTTGGAACTTAGGCGTATGGTACACATCCCATCAACAACAGGGAAAACACCAAAGCCAACCCATAGCTTCTTCACAATCGCATAACATCATAGATTCTCAAAAACATCAGAAAATATCAGTTCAAATCGGACACCAAGAATCCTCTACTACTCTGAAGAATAAGTTAGCATGGACATCCCAAATCTACATGAGAAAAGGCTTAAGATGCTGCAATGTCTAATAATGCAAACATACAGATGTCACAGGCTCAATTGGTAAAGCAAATTGACTACACAATCACAAGAGAGTAAAATGTACATAGAAGTGTTCAATCTTAATGTATGCAACAGATAAAACTCCACATACTGTATCACATTACACCAATACCAAAGGTTCTATATTAACAGAAGAATCTTCAGTTTCTCAATTACCCACGCGCCTTGAGCTCGGCAAGACGCCTGGACAGATCATCCTCACTGACCTTCTCCTCGTCCTTAGAAGATATAGCATGGCCCGCTGCTTGCGGAAGCCCCACGGACACCTCGAGTCCATAGTCATCAGCCACCTGTTGCATCAGGCTGCCCACCTGGTCCTCTGGGGTCGATAAGGAAGTACTTCCAGCCATAGAACTCTCCATAAATTCAGCTTGAACCTCCATATTCACAAACTGACGCTCGAATGAATCCATCGTCTCTGACATTTTCTGTAGATTCCCTGTGTTGAGTGAAGACTCCAGTGATTTGACGATCGAGGACATTGACTTGCTGATTGTCGTCATCTTCGCCTGCGTACACAAAATATATCACAATTTACTAGTTATACGTACAGAATCGAGATGTGGAAGCATCTGCGTCACTGCTTAAATGTTGTATCGATCTTTACCTGAGTATCCAGACGAGCCACAACGGCGTCAAGGCGAGAGGAGAGACGGAGATAGTTCATCTGTTCGCTGCGCTTGCGGATGGCGTTTTCAGCATAAATTCTAGCGCCGTCCATGTTACCTTTCTCGATGGCCTTCTTGACCTTAAGCTTCTCAGACTTTTCGTCTTTCTCGCATTTTCGGGCTTGGCGTTGGAGACTCTTCGATGTGAACTTGAGCTCCATGATCTGATTCATCAATTTCTCGGCGTTTCCCATTTTCTAACCTTTGGTGATTCGATTGTTTTTGGCGATTCTTCGCCTTTGATCAATCAATCACCTTTTCAATTTCTGAAGTTAGGGTTAGCAGTTCTCCCTTTCCGATTTTGGATATGCCCACTCAATTTTGTAGGGCCAGGGGCAATCGGGTCAAGTTTCTTTTCTTCATTGCTAATTCTTTACTTGATTTTTTGATCCCTTAATTTCTGATGAATTTCGAGTTTGCTCCTCTTACTTTTTGATTTAGCGCATTAATCCTTCAATCAAATATCAATTGAAGTGTGCCGTCCTAGTCCCGAGTCAAGGCAATTTTTAAGATTATTATTACTCTCATGAATGAATTAACAACGCATACTTAAATATATTAGAAGTAACTTTAAAAATTCTTTCATCTTTAAATTAGTCCCTACAGTATTTCAAGTTTAGAATTATTTACCATTAATGACACAATTATATCATGTATTTGTTCTTGTCAATTGAGGAACAATTTTAAGCTTAAAAACAACGGTAAATAATGTAAATTTAATTCAATGAGTGGAGGAGTAACTAATGACACTCCATTTTGCTCCATTTCTTTGTGGACAAAGGTAGGCGTTAGAAGCACTTTTTAAATAAATACCTGATGTAATAACAGTTAACAAATTGTTAAACTTAAAAATATTTAGCCTATAACAAGAATAAAGTACATATTTTCATTGATTGAGGTTTAATAGATGTAGTAAAAATATCACAAAGACTAAATACAAAAGCTTATGATATATGAAGGACTCGTAATGCAATTTGTTTACTCGGTTATATCCTTTGCGTACGATTTAAGAAATCAATTTCTTCCGCTGCTACACTCCCTTTCCTTTTATTGGGTCCATGAATAGTAGTGAGAAACAAAAGATTTTAAAAAAAACTGGAACTCATTAATCAGAATAACTGCCATCTTTATAAAAATCTCAAATAGAACGTACGTTTTAGCCAAAAATCTAGAAAAATATGAACTCAAATAGCAAACTTTCGGGTACTCAAGAGGACATTGGGAAGAAAAAAAAAATCAAGTGCAGCTCATACAGCCTAGCCTAACATATTCTAGAATGGGAATCTAGGCCTGCCTGTTTCTCTTCTTGACACCAGATTTCGCAATCTTGAGACTCTTGTTCACAGCACTCAATCTTGCAAGGGATGCCTTCTTCAGATCTGGCCTGTAATAGTTATCTGCTACCTGTATCACATACAAGTTTATGCAAATTAAAGATTGCAACATCTGAAAATAGTGAAGGCAAAGAAAAACCTGCTGAGAAAAAATAATCAAATTATCTAACAAAAATACTGATGCTATGAAGGGTAGAGGTATATTCAACAGCATGTCTGGCAAACCTTACCTCATAGAGATAGAGAGGTTGTTTCTACTAGACCACCCTCACAGCTTAAAATAGAGGATAGCAGTTTGATAGGGAATACATAAATGAGATTAGTAAAACCAACGGAATAACGGGAAATGAAGAGCAATACATAACCTACAACAGAAAGGTGGAGGTATATTCATTACATAGAATATGTCAAGCACAATTTGGAGAAAATGGTGAACAGTAGACAGTAATAATTAGTCAGACACATTGTAATGCTCAGATAACTCCAATTGCCAGCTCTCTAGAAAGTGAATTTTTAATCCATTTACAACTTTTTGTATTCATCCAAAAAAACGTCAAACAAATTACAGAACATATACCAAGCCTTTTGAAACAATCAAGAAGTGAACAATCAAACCCGTGATCATTATAAGCAGCTAATATGCAGCTTGAGACCAAACAAATTCATGTAAATATACACATTCTACTGGTCAAAAAAGACAATCACCTGGTTTGATACAGCCTTGGCCATGCACCGAAACTCCTTCTTCATTACAGATTTATTCAGCAAACTTGAAGGCTTGTTCTGTTTCTTGGTCTTTGAAGTAGCAAGCAACACTGATTGATCTTTGCCTCCAGGCTGGATGGTCACAGTCTTCTTGTTTGCTAGGCCTACAAAGTCATGACAACAGCAGTTCAACTAATGCTTAACGCAAGCAATGGAAAACCAAAATAGCTAAAACTAGAAATCTAACTCATTCAGCAATGCAATGTTCCATTCAATGACTATTACAAATTCACGTTATTCTTTCATGTAAGAACATTCCATACGACATACTAACGGGCTTAAATGGCTTATCCCACATGCTAGGTGCTCTGTGGTTAGTTCGGTGTAAGGGGACAGTGGACAGATACTACATGTAGCCTTCCTTTTTCATTTCTACGAAGAAACTCAAACCCTTAACTGAATTTTGGTTCATCAGAAAGGTTATTCCATCATCGAGACATGGCTTGCCCACATAAAACATACTAATGGAATATGGAAAATAGCTGAACTTCATTACAGTTTGAATGCACACATGATATATATCCAGTTTTCCAACATCACATTAAGTGCAAGTAGTAAAAACAATATACTCCACAAAACAGCTATCAGTTTAGCTTGAAAAATAGAACATTTCCCCAAAAACCTATTAGCTGTATTACCGTATAAGCTCAAGGTACCACTATTCGCAACAGAAACCAAATTTGTTAAATCGACATAAGCAGAGGGTAATGTTTACAATACTAACCAGAATGCTTGTAAGAGTGAAGATTGTAAAGATTGTTAGGCTCTTTGCTGAATACGACACCGGCGGTACCATTACCAAACTCCTTCACCAAAAATGAGTTGTTTTTCTTGACGATCTCCCAAACCAGTTGCCCTGGAACTGTCGTCATTTCAACACCACCTACCCTGTCAATTGGATCACAAATAAAGCTTAATTAATCACGTCGATTGATCTGCAGAAAAGCAAAGATGCGTTCGGGACTTACTGTGAGTAGCAAAAGGGTCTGTAGAGTTTCGATTCGACGGCCTGTGCAAGAAGACGCAATAAACTTAAAAGGAAGACGCCAGTGAAACCCTAAAGGGAAATTATATTATGGGAACTGCCCCTCTCTATTTTATTTTACTATAATTTTTGTCGCATTTATGTTATTTTTGACAAATTTTATTTGCAAATCTTATTTATGCTGCTTTTTTACAAATATAATAATTAAAAGAATATTTATAATGAAGCACGAATCACTTAAAATTAAGGTGTGAGATTGGAGTTTGTAGTTCATTAATTACATATTTTATTTTATATTATATAACACAAAATACTGAAAAGAAAATATTGTATTTATAATCTTTATGTGATTATATCTTTTATCAAAAGTATATTAACTTAGGCATGGAGAATATTTCCTTGCATGATCATTTTTTACGTTGTTATTATCATTTAAACACATAAACTTACTAATTGAGTAATCTCTATTAAATTTATATGAATTTTATGGAGTAAATAAATAATAGTTTTATTGGGTTTTATTTGCCCTGATTTCTTACCATAAATAGGTTTTCCTTTTAGGAAAAGGTTTTGAATTGACTATTCTTTTTTGATAGGAAAATGTTTAGGACTCTATAAATAAAGGTCTTCTAACTTAATGAGCATTCACAATGTAGTAAGGGCTTTGAGAGTTTTGGTTAGAGGGAGAATTTGTGAACCTCATGTATTCCGAGTGAATTGGTTGAGGTTGTTTCCCTCTGTATTTTGTACTCTCATGTTTATAGTGGATTGCTCATCTCCTTTGTGGACGTAGGTCGATTGACCGAACCACGTTAAATCTTTGTGTCTTTTGGTATATTTCTCGTTGTCTTCTTACTCGTGGTCTTTGCTTTGCTAGCTTCCGCGTTTACACCTGCTTATTTCCGGTCCTAACAAGTATAACAATTAAAAAAAACAAATTACTCATTGAGATAACTTCTAATTAAGTTTATTGGTGTAACCTAAAAGTCACGCGATCTATTTAATTGATTTTTCATTAAAGTTTAACAATATGAATTTTATTCAAAATTAATTTCTTTAATAAAAAGAAATATATTTAAACCATTTTAATGACTACACCCATTAGAAATACAACATGTTTTGTGATAATGTACCAAGATAAAAACAAGATTTAGATTAAATTTTATATAACCAAATTGAGTTTTAAGATTTGGAACTACAGTTAGTAATATACTAACAACTTAATATAACTTCAATTATAAATGATTCGTTAGGATAATGTTTAACCAAATTCAGAAAACAAACAATTTGATTAATTAACATCTTACTTTTGGAGTCAAATAACAATAA